GCCAATGAGCAAACACATTGTACCATTAGAACACTGGAGTGATAGTTGCTGGAAATGGGCCTCTATACAACAATGTAGATACCAGACATTTGCAGCTAGAATAGTCATTTACCACATTAACAATGTATAGAGTGTATTTCTTTAAAGTTAAGACTAGTTTAAAGTTATCTTCATTGAAAAGTACAGTGCTTTTCCATTAAAAATAAGGACATTTCAATGTGACCCCAAACTTTTGAACGGTAGTTTATATATTGTATGAAATTGTGTTCTATCAAACTGGTCCTATAGTCACTCTATTTCAGATGGAGTAATATAACGAAAGTAATTTCTCCCTGGGATTATTAAAGTATTTCTTTTTCTGATACCTCAATGAAGGGACAGGTGTTGTGAATGAAACGGTGTCCAGCTTGAAAGAGCTCCTGTGTGTCGCTGAATGTGTGCATTGATGACTGAAAGACATTTTCTGCCTCCATGGTGGGGGGGTGGGGGTGGGGGGAGTGTAATTAACCAAAATTTTACTGCAATGAAATTTCAGCAAAATGGACTAGCCTGCCGCATCATTTTTTCACTGTAATTTTTGGGGTGTCTTTGAATTCAGCCCTACGTAGGTTGATAATTTCCATTTCCATCAAATGATGCGGCATCCCTCACAGACGATCTCAGCTTTTTCCCCCTGAATGGCCGTCCCACATGAAGCTGTATTTATACCCCAGCAACGGCTAATTCAAAATCTAGAACAAGATTATTATGCCAAGATTACTTTGCTTATAAAATTGAGTACATGCAGATTTGTTTGAGTTTAAGAATGTTGTTGCCAAGATTCGTACATGACCTCTGCTTTCCATTGTTTCTGTGTGCTCGGGTTCAAATACATTGTCCACTGTATTCTCTGTGTGTTGCTAAGTATGTAAAAGGCCTTGAAATATGTTTGCACAGTGTGAACATTATATAGCACCATTATAACCAGCTTGGTGGTACTGTTGATTCTAATTGCCTTTGTTGTGGATTAGTTAAACTACATAGGCTGGGAGTAATCCTGCTAGGCTGGGCTCGCTTCGTGGCCCTGCTAGTAATAGAGTTAGCGTTACATTTATTTTAAATTTACACACAATAAAATAAGGAGTAAGGAGGGATTTACACTCACTGGCCACTTTATTGGGTTCTCCTGTGAAATTTCTTGTAAATACAGTGAACCAGCCAATCAAATGACAGAAACCGAGAGCATCTACCAGATATACATATATCTACTATCATTGAATCCAAAATGTTAAAGCAGACTGCGTTTCCCAAACAGTGAAAAAACAAAAAGCAAACAAAATGCTGTTTTAAAATAGCGCTACTGAAACAATAAAACAAGTACAAAACAGATATAAAAAAAAATAAATCATAAATATAAATGATTTTTAAACATTTTGACGCCATGATTGCTTTAAGTTAATTATTTAAAGAGGACTATTGACAGAAGAGGCAATAAATGTCCACTTTGGTGCGGTTAAAGATCGGCGCAGTGTGTCATTTTGAGTGTTAAACCTTTTTATATCAATAAATATAAAATTTCCTTACAGACAAGTTAAGAAAAAAACATTGAAGTCGTCTTAGATTAGAAGCAATTAAAAGGAACAACCAATTAAAACACAAAAGCAGACACATTTTTATACAACAGGACAAAAATGCTTATTAAAAAGCGGGGCAGCTGAGCTAACAGTAAGATTGAAATCTTGACATGTTGGTTTGGAGTCAACCTGTTAATGATTCAAACCATGAAACGGTTTGATGCTCCAGTCAACTTTTCCTCCACTTGGAACTCTAATTATGTCTCAAATTTTGGTTTCAGTAGTAAAGCTTTTACGTCTCGTCTGATGACTCAGATTGCCTTAAATTGGTATTAAAATAGTTCGGATTAAGGTTTTATTAAGAAATAAACCAAAGAAAAATAAAAACAGAGGTACAACTCAACCTTAAACAGTTTGATCATTTTTACTGATTTAAGGATTAGAGATATAAAGGATGAGAAAATATGCCTTTGTCATTAGTGATAAAACTGTAGCACATATCAAGCGATAACAAACTGCAGCTTTTTCCATGAAGTTTCATTTAATCTGAGTTTAATTCACCACCATCATCAAAAGTGGGAACTTCTCCAACGAGTCCTAACTTCATCAGGTCGGATTCTTCTTTTTCAGGGAACTCTAAGACTCTCCTGTTCCAGTTTCCCCTCGTTTGAACTGTAATCAACAGAGAAAAAAAACATCACAAAGAACATTAACATCAAAAAAAAATGGACCTCCTGTAGAGGTCTGTCTCACGGTGGATCTGACAGAAAACACTCTGTTGTGGTGATAAAGGAATGTTAGGGGTAGTCCAAAATATCTTTCATTTATTTGTTATTTTTTTCTCTTTCTACTGTATGATAATCTCCAGAGATTCCAAAAAAGTAAAAAAAATAAAATAAAATCCGCTGGACTTTCTTTCCGAATTTGAAGACGTTTTGCTTCCCATCCAGGAAGCTTTTTCAAATCAAAATGAAAGAATTAGCTTTGAGTTCAAAGCTTTATAGAGCAGACCAAAAAAGCATCGTTCTGGCATAGAAAACATGCAAATTGATACAGAAGAACAGGTCCCCCTCTTAGGAATGGGATGAGATCTTTTGTTAGCCTGCAATACCCAATACTGCTCTGTGCCTCTGAATCGTTAGGGGCATTGTTGGCCTGGCTGACCAGGCGAAATGTTTTGGTCCCCATAGATCCAGTGTGGCTTCATTAAAAAGAAAATGCTTTTTAGAGTATTCTCAGTTAAAATTAAAAAGTAGTTATTAGTGGAAACCTTTAATGATAGAAAGAGCAGAAGCAAACTTTTAAAGTTCCATTTGGCTTCAATCAAGAAGAATCTGAACTTACCGCATTTTTCAGCAAGTTTCCAGATTTAACGAAGATGCTTGGTTTCTTGAAGGTCAGTTTGTGGGATTCAGTGCTGCTCTGCTGGGCGGTCTGTGGCTGAGAGGCCGGTTTAGGCTGAGCAGCAGCGGATGGAAGCGACGAGGGCTGAGACAGCGAATGAGACTGTGGCTGCAGGTAGCTCTGGCTCAGGTTTGGGGTGAAAGGCACTGATGAACTGTAAGGTTGGGATGGAATGTAGGGCTGGGAGGGGGTGTAGGGCTGGGAGGGGGTGTAGGGCTGGGGAGGGGTGTAGGGCTGGGGAGGTGTGTAACTTTGGGATGGGTTATAGGGTTGAGAAGGTGTGAATGATTGAGAGGGGGTGTAGGTTTGAGTTGGGGTGTAAGACTGGGGCAGGGAGAAGCTTGAAGTGGTTGTGAGAGGCTTTGTGCTTGGAAACGACAGGGGTGGCGAGGTGGAGTCAAGCAGGGTCGGTGGTGGAGGGGGAGGGAAGCTATCGTCGTCGTTTTTGCCATCGGGGCCCCCAAGGTCGTAGTGCCTCTTCCTGAGCTCCCCAAGACGGATTCGCTCCTGTTCCAGCTGGCTCTCAAGCTGCAGAACCTTCACCTGAGAAATCCAGACACAACAAGATCTTTGTCAGTGGTTCCTAAACAGAGACCTGAGATAAGATATGTTTTTAAATATAAAATCCACTTTTTAAAAATGAATAACGATGAACCAGCCTTATGATAAGCCTTTTTCGTGTTTGCATGAGCCGTTGTTTTAGTCTCTGCATTCTAACAATGCTTTTGACATAATTCTGGAACCCAAAGACGAATTGAACCAAATCAGCTCCTTATGCAATGAAATTATTCTTAATAATTTTATACTTTTCTAGAAAAAAAGCCAGGATTCTGAGATGAAAGTCAGAATTCTGACTTTTTTCACATATTATACTGAAATAAAATTTAAAAATCAGTTAATTTTTTTTTTTCCAGTGGCCCTATTCCTCCTCCGTAACATTAGGACATTATTCTGTAAAGTTAGGGAATGGTGGAAGTATTGGAATGTTTACATAAATCCAGATGTTCATGAATGTGATCATATCTGCAGTCTTTAATTGTGGAAGAGATCTTTTTTTTTTAGATAAAATAATATTTTATAAATAATGATGAATCAGTCTTTTGATGAATTTGGCTTTTAAAGGGAAATAACTGGCTTTTTCCTTTCAAAGTCTCTACTTTCTTAAATTGGGTGTGAAATAATTCTGCCACCTAAAGGCTGAATTAAACCAGGTTCACATTTTAAGAAAGAAATTATTTGTATTATTTTCAAACTTTATAGATTATTTGAACATTTGAAAAATTTTTGCTTCCATCAGTTACAATTATCCAACTGCAAACACTAACATAGGTTCTTAAGCAAATATTCATCAGCTGTGACCAAAATAGCTTTACCCATTACCTTACTCATTCTTTGAAGAGTTTTTAGCCATTAGTGATGATCTAGTATTGGATTTCTTTAAAACAAAAGAATCTTCCATGTTTAGATTCTTCTCTTCAGATTTAGATCAATAGTTATTTAGGTTATTGGTTATTCCACAGATCAATCAGGATTTTTAGGGACACCATCACCTTGATGGTCTCCTTATGCTTCCAGTAATAAAAAAAATACAATCTATAGTATTTAGGTCTACCTGAGCTTCCATTTCCTCTTTTTTGAGTTTGATCAATGACATGCCGGAGAAGTCCATCACACCTGCAACAGCAAATAAAAATATATGTTTGAAATTGAAACCCTCAATAATGATTGATGGATTAAAGACGAGGCCAGAGGCCTAAAATAGTGAAATGCAGGTTATGAAGCTGCTTCATTCTCCCTGAGCTCCTTCTCTCACCGTGGTCGGAGATCTGCTGCTGCCCATGCTTGGTGGAGGTGACGACCACTGCAGCCATGTCATTCACGTGCCGTGAGGCCTGCTGCAGCGTGTTCAGCTTCTTATTGCTGCGATCAGCCTTCACCTGGAATCACAGCAACATTTTGGCGTTAAACCTTTAAAATTAGAACTTTAATGGAGTTGCTGCTGTTAAGGTTTTATTTGCCAATGTATTTAGAGCCAACAAAGACACAGTTCCAGAGAGTTTTACAAGATATAACATAAAAGACATGAAATTAAATAAAAAAGTTCCATTTATTAATCCAACTGCATTTAGCAACTTTTTGAATATGCATTTAAAGGCAGAAATGTTTTGAAATATAGAGATGTTATTCTCATTCAGGCTTTGAGACGGCGAGAGAGAATAAGAATTTTGCTAATAACAGAAAACTTAATCAGAATGCAGCATAATTATTATCTATTTCCTTGTTCAGCTGACAGCTTCTGTCCATCATGGATCTACTTTTGTTAACAAATATGGAGAGAGCCTGCTCTTTTACTTAAGCCAGGCATACACTGTATGATTTTTTGCCCTTTTCGGGCCGACTTTCCAGTCATGCGAGAATCGGGGCCAACTTTCGGCCAGATCGTGCGTCATGTAGTGTACAGGGGTAATGAGGGGCGATCAGCCTCTTAAGACCACCTTCCGATCACGAATCGTGAGGTTGGGAGAAAATCAAATATGTTTGAAATACATTCTGCCGTTGTGGCTAAATTGCTCAGTGGGCAAACAAGGATTCTTCTTCTTCTTCCTCTCAGATGTAAACACAGCAGCATGGCGGGGGGCGAGTGAAATGGAGTTCTTTCTGTAAAATTAACAGAATGTAGTAGTTTGCTTAGCCATGTATTTGCCAAATACGTTGTCGCCTTTTCTTTTTAGGACCTTCAGCCACAAAATTGCCAAGGCAGCGCGTTTCATTCTAGTGAGCTATATATTCTCCAGAGCTGAGTCCGACATGGTTCTTAGTCGTACAGTATGAGCAGGTAGATCACATCAGAGTGTCAAATTGCAACAGTTTAAGAACATATATGGTGAGCTGTGAACTCACAGCTCACGATGTATGTGCAGCGCGACGCTCTCATGTGATCTACCTGCTCACACTGCATGACTAAAAAGCACGTCGGACACAGCTCCGCAGGGATATGGAGCTACTCTGACTCCTCTATCTAGAAGCCAAACAAATAGAAGGGGAATATTAAGCTCACTATAGTGAAACATGCAGCCTTGGCAATTTGTGCAAATTTGTGCTGAAAGCCATAAAAAGAAAAGGCAATGACATATTTGGAATAAAGACATGGCTGAGCAAACGTGGCTACTATGGTCTGTTAATTTTACAAACAGAACTGCATTTCACTCATTGCATCCCTGCCATGCTGCTGTGTTTACATCTGAGAGGAAAAACAAGAATCATTGTTTGCGCACTGAGCGATTCGCCCACAACCTCACAATTCCTGATCGGGAGGTGGTCGTGAGAGGCTGATCGTGCCTCGTAACCCTTTGTACATTACACCACTCACGATCGGGCTGAAAGACAGCCGGATCGAAAGATTCTGACACGACTGGAAAATCACCCCAAAAATCCTACAGTGTACACCCGGCTTTATGCAAGCCACGCTTATTTAAGAAAACACAATTCTAAGCATTGCATCTCCATACATAGACATGTGTTTTTCAGAGCTAGGTGTTGCTTATATTCCAGTGCTGTTATTTTTACCTTTGATGCTGCGACCAGCTGGGCAGTGCTTCCTGCGATCTCGTGGGAACAGGCAATGAGCTCCTCATATGAACCTTTTTCAGCCACGACCCGGTCAGCCGAGTCTCTGGAAGCAAAGACAGAACCACGCTAAACCTCATCATCATAATGTCCTTGACACACACGTTTGAGTCGGCAGGTTCAGATTCTTACAGCAGCTGAGTTGCACCCCAGCCCACAGCTTTGGATGCTGAGATGAGTCCTTCGGTCCAGCGAGAGTTTTTGGCATAAAACTCAGTAACAGATGCCGCCCCCTGCAGGAAAAATTAGAACATTGAATTTTAAATATTTCAGGAAAATAGGTTACTTTGTTTGTTATATATCAGCAATTTGTGCCTTGTTCACTAAACCAAATGCCAGATATAATTTCTAAAACTATGAGAGAGCATAGCTTATCATAATTATTGTAGATGAAGTAAAACGGTCAAAACACAATTCACAACAGAGGATATTTTAAGCAAAGAAATAGTTATATTTAATTAAATTTTCAAAACACTGAACAGAATGACCCCTCCTGGAACCGTAGTGGAGGGGTTTAAGTGCCTGGATGATCCCAGAGGCTATATTGTCGGGGGCTTAAATGACCCTGGAAAGGTCTCCCAAGGCAAAACGGCCCTGTGTGAAGGGCCAGACAAAGAGCTGTTCAACAATCCCTCATGATGAGCCACAAAATTAAGGTGGAAGAAGTCGCCTGGTAGGGCAGAGCCCGGGACCTCACTTTAAAACCAAGCTTGTTTGTCAGAGCGCGCCTGATGGCTGATTTCCTTCCCGTAGGAGAGAGAGAGGCCGGGATGTTGGATAGCAACTCATCCAGGGATTCCATCATTCTCCTGGGAATAGACCCCCAGCTCTAAACCGGGGTGGTGTTTCATTTTTGGACTTCAATACGACTCAAGGATTGTCCATGTTCATGCTTAAGAACGCCATTAGTGCACTTCGCACCAGGAAACCCTAGGCTGGAGGTTGATGACCGACTATGTAGTTATACTCGGGTAAAGAGAGGATCAGCTGTTCACTGATTGCAACTTGGTACCGAGTTCGATATCCTGGAAGAGGAGGAAGCCAGATAGCCTCGTGAGACCATCCTGATCTCGCGAGCTTTCAAGATTTCACTCGCTAATCAGTCTGGAAACTCTCTGTTGAAGAAAATTTGGAGCCGTTCACCAAACGAACGTCCAATCAGCGTTGGCTTTGAGGCGGGTTGAGGTGTGATGCAACGAGATGCGCGACAGTTCAGTCTAAAGAACACGGCAGCTTCAGCCGATGAAACTAGCGTTAGCGTGGCTATCGAGCAAGTTTTATTGGAATTACAGAGTATTTCTTCACTGAAAGAAGAGCAAAACACTGCTCTGGAGGCTTTTCTCAGAGGAAAAGATGTTTTTGCTCTTCTCCCGACTGGTTTCGGCAAGAGTTTGATCTATCAATTGGCTCCTCTTCGTCGTCGCTCTGTTAGTACGTCATATGCTTCGTAGATCTGATTGGTTTATTTGGCCCGTCTATCACCAACATAGGCCAATCAGCTAACCAGTATTTTCGCCCCTTCCCAAAATAACTTCTACGGAAGGTTTCCAGATGGATATGCGGAGCAAATCCATCTGGCGGAGTCAGGTTAGAAGCCAGACAGACTCACAAGGACCTTGCGAGTAGAGAGTGCCTGCTGGGAACACCTAGTGGAGCTCAGAGATATCTTTAACTCGCACCTCCGGGAGAGCTTCTCACAAACTCAGGAGGCTGGTGACATGGAGTCTGAGTTGGCCATATTCTCTGCCCCAACCCCTGAACTCACTGATGGACACCGGCAGTAAGAGATGCCATCAAGCTCTTTGTAAAAGTGGAGCAAGAGCTCTATCCACATTGCCAGCATTAAGTCAGACCTGTTCCCAGTGCACGTTTGATTCTGACAGGGCTGCCCTCCATCACCGGTCGTGTTCATAACCTTTATTGGCAGTATTAAGAGGAATATTCTTGTTGGCGGTCCAGCAGATTACGTCCCTAGTTTTTGTGGATGACGTGGCTCCTTCCTGCAAAGACCTACAGCATGCACTGGGGCAGTTCACAGCAGAGTATGAGGAATCAGCCACTCCTAATCTGAGGCCATGAATCCTGAAAGGAAGAAGGCGGCTTGACCCCTCCTGGTTGGAGGAAAGTTCTAGCCTCAAGTGGAGGAGATCAAGTATCTTGAGTCCTGTTTATGAGTGAGGAAAGAATGTAGAGGGAGATCGATAGGATTGGTGCAGGTGCTGCTCTAATGCAGACACTGCACCGGTCTGTTGTGGTGGAGACAGAGCTGAACAAAAAGGCAAGGCTCTTGATTTACTGTTCGATCTACATTCCTGTTCTCACTTATGGTCATGAAATCAGGATTGTGACTGAAAGAAAGAGATCCTGGATATAAGCAGCTGAAATTTAGTTTTCCCCACAGGGTGGCTGGGCTCTCTGATAGGAGCTTTTTTTGTCTTAACTTTTGAAGAAAAATGTCTTATTTCATTTAATCTTTAGGTTTTTATAGTAAAACTAGATTTCTATTTGTTGCAATATTTTTCTAAATTTTCAATAAACAGTTTCTATCTAAACTTTCACAAGAAGAAAATAATTTTTTTGATTCTTCTCCCTAAATTAACCCTGATCCAGAAGTAGTCCCTTAAAGTTTCAAAATGAAGATGCAGAAAATGACATAAATCTATTTAATAGGCATTTATCTGTTGATGTAACAGGAAGTCCGGTTTTAAGGTCTCTGCATCAGCCTTACAAGTTGTGTTGGAAAAACTCACCCTGCCTCCTTCCACAATGTCTTTCTGTAAGTCAGTGGCAGCTGTGACCAGGATGTGAATTGCCTGATGTGGATGAAGAACATGCATTTTATTAGTGTGCATCCATTAAGCTCAATTCACAGCAAGCAGCTTTGTTTATCTACCTTCATCAGATCTGAACAGGATCCCAGGATGCTGCAATGACAGAGAATAAAGATAAAACATCTATAGTTAACCTATATGTTACTAAATGTTTAATATTTGTTTACAAATTAGAGTTTGAACAATTTAGAGTGCACTGATTATTGATTATTATGATCATAATGAAGGAGGAAAATCTTCCAGAGCATCGTCATACCTCTGGTTGACCTCCAACTTTACGCCGCTGGTGTTGCTCTTTGCTTGGGACAGAATCTCCTAAAAGACGCAGAAAGAAAAAGGTTTCACAGCATCAGTGTCTGTAAATGTGTCAGGATTACATGTCCAGCTGGATTGGTTATCAGCTGGAGCCGTTAACAGATAATAAGTTTACATTTCCATAATCTAAACTTCCAGCTGAAAACTACAACAGCAATCTTCCTTACATCCATTCGCAGCACAGCATCCTCAATAGCAGTTGACGTAGCGACCATTTCTTTATCCACCATGCTTCCCAGCTCCTCTTTCAGCACATCCTGTCCTTTTGGGCGTAAATCCTAAACAAGAAATATAAAGTTAAAGCTGAAGTAGAACAAGTTTTAATTTGTACAATCATGTATTTTGACAATGATAATCACAGGTATTATTAGGAAAATAATGGAATCACAAGTTTTACTAAGCTTTACTATTAAATATAATACTTTGTTTAAAAAAAACTGCACTAATATTATCTGAACAAGAAGCTATAATGTCGAAAATGCAAAATTCCTGTAAATGATTGATCATCTATGAACTGAAGTTTTCATATTTTTAAAAGTTTCTCCTTTTTAGCTGGATCAAATAATCTGATTCAAGGTATTATGTCATGAAATGATGTAGGAGCAAATGTAAAACATAAATAGAAACATATTTATCTGTTTGGCATCATGTTATATTCAGCTGTAATTCAGCTTTAGAACTGAAACCACATCACTGATGCCCATTGCTGCATATATGCAGCAAACCCTTAGTGTTACTGTGAAGTTTAGGGGAAACTGAGACTCTTGCAAGAGAATGCAACACTCTCCCTTGGAACTATCCCACCCCTACACAAAAAAACTTTCTCTTACATGAACATTTGGAGGAAAAACAACTTGAGTTCATCAAGGTTATTCTCTGATGCCAATGAAATGATGCACAAACATCATTTCATAGGTATTACGAAGTATGAGTCAAAGCTGCTCCCCTCAGGTGCATCGCTGCTCCTGAGGTAATGGCTTAACTTGATTAACTTGATAGCTGGGAAAAATATTGCAATATATAGTGACGTTGCAATATTGTGATAGTATCATATTGGGACACAAGCATCATGATACGTATCGTATCGCAAACCCATGCCAATACTCAACCCTAGTGGAGGGGCATATTCTTGGCATTTAAACTTGATTTTTGCTGTTTAAATATTAATAGATACGTAAAAATAAATGAAACGATTACCATCCCAGTTTCCCAATTTCATCTTGATGGGTTGTTTTTTTTATGTTTATCTAGGAGCTGGAAATGTCCCCAGATTTGGTTTTAGCAACCTTAATCCAATCTAATCTTATTGATTACAATATCACAAAAATTAATACTGCAATTGTGCAGTAAGCTTAGTCAACCATAACAACTTTGTAAAAAACTGGATAGCAATAATCCAAAACCAAAAAAGCTTGATTTGTGAGGATCAGAGTTTATCACAGATACCAAATTTTAAATTTTGACAACACCATATGTTCTTCAGCATTAAACCTAAAGGTGAGTTTCATTTTCACGATCTGTTGCCTTCTTGTGGAGCCTTTTTGTTTTTTCTTAATCAAAGTCATGAACAATCATCTCTAGTAGTCAAGTCCACAATCAAGTCCCATTAAGCTTGTAAGTCCTGTTTGTCATAGTCGTTACTTGCTGTTAAAGCACCCCTCTTTTCACGACTACCTCACTCAGAGCAACACCAGACTTCTCAATCAGGAGAATTATTGCAAATTATTTTCAGTTGTTTCCCACCTGTCCCATGGCGAGGATGCGTTGAATAATGTAACGAATGGCGGCCGGATCGGCTCTCTGCAGATTGACCTGAGATTTCAGGTCATTCAGGTACTGCAGGCAGTTATTCGCACATTCCCGACAGCTGTCGGTTAAAGCTGTCAGAGAAGATCAAAGATCAGACGATCTATAGAGGACTGCAGCTGCAGCATGATGGTGTCTCTCTTACCATCAGCATGATCGATGGGAGCCGAGTGAGACGTTGCAGCGCCGTTAACGATGGTGTCTGCGGCGAGGTGGGAAAACTGGGTGACGGCCCTCAGCAGGCCACTTGCATCTGCAAAGCATTAAAAAGGAGTTTGGATTGAATGTGTGAGGCAAACATGTGAGCACACTGTGCATGTCTGACTTACCGTTTCTGTTCCCCAGATACATCATGTGGCTCTGCTGCATTTTATCAATAGAGCCCAGAGTGATCTCAGCTCGGTTTATCAAATAATCTGAAAGCACAGAAGGCCAAATGCTTTATATGTGGTTCAAAAGTGCAAAAGGTATAGATATGGGTTTTTTTTAAAACACAAAGTCTAGTTACTGCTGTGCTTCTGTTTATATTTCTTATATTGTAATTCTCAATGTTTTTTTTTTTTGTTTGTTTTTTTTACTTTGTGGGTTACCACACCTAGTAGGGAGTCCCCTAATAAAAGCTGGTGAAATTGGTTGCTTTTTAGAACACCTGGCAACATTTGACTTGCCTTAAGATGGCGAGTCAAATGGAGAATTATGGAGGATTTTACCACTTACTGATAGGTTGCAAAACCAGTTCAGTGTATATCTACACCGATGACAGTGATCATACAGGAGAGTGAACGTTCATATTTTACAAATAAATGTCCCACATTTTTATTAAGACTTTTTTGGTATTTTTTCTATTTTGGGCTTATACATAACGTATTCATTACGAGTCCAGAGCTTAAGTCCAAC